CAGGCCCCGCCTCCATCCATGTGCTCCACCTCCTCCCTGCACGGCCCCTCCTCCCATCCAGGCCCCGCCTCCATCCATGTGCTCCACCTCCTCCCCTTGAGGCCCCGCCTCCATCCACATGCTCCACCTCCTCCCTGCACGGCCCCCCTCCCCTCGAGGTCCCGCCTCCACCCACCTCCTCCCTACACTGCCCCCTCCCCTCGAGGTCCCGCCTCCATCCATGTGCTCCGCCTCCTCCCCTTGAGGCCCCACCTCCATCCACGTGCTCCACCTCCTCCCTGCACGGCCCCCCTCCCCTCGAGGTCCCGCCTCCACCCACCTCCTCCCTACACTGCCCCCCTCCCCTCGAGGTCCCGCCTCCATCCATGTGCTCCACCTCCTCCCCTCGAGGTCCCGCCTCCATCCATGTGCTCCACCTCCTCCCCTTGAGGCCCCGCCTCCATCCACGTGCTCCACCTCCTCCCTGCACGGCCCCTCCTCCTCCCCGCAAAGCTCCATTTCCTTCCCTTCCAGGCTCCACCTCTTTTCCCAAGGCTCCGCCTCCTCAGCGCCCATGTTTCGTGTAGCCTTGTTCCCACCCTGCTGTATTGTCTGGTTCTTTCCAGACATTGACGAGTGCGCCTCCAACCCGTGTGCAGCAGGCGGCACCTGCGTGGATCAGGTGGACGGCTTCGAGTGCATTTGTCCTGAGCAGTGGGTGGGGGCTACGTGTCAGCTGGGTAAGGACTTGGGGGCACCACGTGCGTCTGCTCTAAGCATGCCAGACTGCCTGTCGGAGCTGCTGCTGCTGCGGTGATGGGGTGCCGGTGATGGGGTGCCGTGGGCAGGCCGGCCCAGCCTCTCTCCCTTGTCTTGTCTGCAGACGCCAATGAGTGTGAAGGGAAGCCGTGCCTAAACGCTTTCTCTTGCAAAAACCTGATTGGTGGCTATTACTGTGCTTGCCTCCCGGGCTGGAAGGGCGCCAACTGCCATATCAGTCAGTATGGGGTGGGGTGCAGGGGGCAGGGCCGGGGTCTCCAGGGCCCCCGTGTGACCTCGCCCTTCTGTCTCCAGACATCAACGACTGTCACGGCCAGTGTCAGCACGGTGGGACGTGCAAGGTGAGGCAAGACTGGCAGCTAGGGGTAAACTGGGATCCCAGGGACCCCCCCCACGTGTCCTCATTGGTCCCGTCTACCACAGGACCTGGTGAGGGGATACGAGTGCATGTGTCCCCGGGGCTTCAGAGGCCGACACTGTGAGCTGGAGCAGGACGAGTGTGCCAGTGGACCATGCCGTGGTGGTGGGCTGTGTGAAGACCTGGTGGATGGCTTCCGCTGCCACTGCCCTAAAGGCCTGTCTGGGCCGATCTGTGAGGTGAGGGTCAGCTGAGCAGGGGCTCTGGGGACAGAGATGAGGGCCAAGCAGAGCCAGTGGCCCCAAGTCCAGGCTCTTGTTTGTGGTAAAGTGCCTGCTCTGGGGTCACCCAGGAGTCCAGAAAACTTGCCTGTCTCAGAGGCCATGTGTCAACTTCTCACCCACTGGCCCTAGAGGACAGACCTATGGGGCTGAGCTTGTAAAGATCTGGGAAGGAGTTGGGGTGCCCACTGCTGCCCAGCCAAGGCCACGGAGCCTGTGGGTAGGTTGGGAGAATACTGCTGCCGAGCAGTGCCCTGGTGCCGGCGGGATCCCAGCCTGGTCTGGAGGCCTCCGCTGGCTTTGGGAAAGGCTGTGGCGAGGTGGGCGTTGGGAGCTGGCCTTCCTGCCTGTGGGGACGAGGGCCGGATACTGCTGGCCCCAGGCAGAGGAAGCAAGGCTACCCTGGAGCGTGGGTGGTGGAAGGGGCCTGTGAGCTCACAGGTGTTTCCGGCCAGCTGACCAGCCGGACCATCTTGGGTGGAGGTGGGTCCCATGGACCTGGCTGCCAGACTGGCTGGCCCAGGCTTTGCGTTCCCAGGGGACTGGCCTGTGTAGCATGACTGCAGCCTCATGGTGCTGTGGCCAGCAGGTGGAAGTCAAGCCTTGCGAGCCCAGCCCTTGCCAGAATGGCGCCCACTGCTACAGCCTGGAGGACGACTACTACTGTGCCTGTCCTGATGACTTTGGTGGCAAGAACTGCTCTGTCTCCAGGGAGCCGTGCCTTGGTGGGGCCTGCCGAGGTGGGCATGGTGACCAGCTGGGTATAGGGACCAGTGGGATAGATGCTGGTGAGGACAGCTGGGCCTGAACCTGTGTGCTTTTCTGTCACAGTTTTCGACAGCTGTGGGTTTGAGGCGGGACCCCAGGTGCCTGGTGCTGTGACCTCGGGTGTGTGTGGCCCCCATGGCCACTGTGTAAGCCAACCTGGTGGCAACTTCTCCTGCCTGTGTGACAGCGGCTTCACGGGCACTTACTGCCATGAGAGTGAGTCGGCTGGCGTGAGCCCGAGGCTGAGGGCACTGGGAGGCGTCTTGAGGGTGTTTGGTATTGGAGGTTGGAGGTACCATAGCTGGGGCTGTAGGAATACCTTGGGACAGCAGTGGGGTGGCCTGGGCAGGGATGTGAATGGGGGTGTGGCTGGAGGTATGGGGGTGGGGTGTGAATGGGGCTGGGCCGAGTCTGGGGTGTGGGTGGGGCTGTAGTGTGGGCGGGGATGAGATGGGGTGTGGCCTGGGAGTGTGGGCATGGTCAAGGAAGGGGCAGTTGATGGGTTTGGCAGTGTCATAGACAGCTGTGGATGGGGTGCTGGGCTGAGGGCGGGTCAGGGAGCTGGAGATGAGCTAGACTCACACACTAACTACATTCCTGCAGACATCGATGATTGCTTGGGCCGGCCGTGCAGAAATGGGGGCACGTGCATTGACGAGGTGGACACCTTCCGCTGCTTCTGCCCTAGTGGCTGGGAGGGCGAGCTCTGTGATATCAGTGAGTGGACCTCTACCCGCCATCTGAACCCTGGCCAGACCTGTTCTCACCATCCGCACCCCTGGCCCAGCTCCAGTTCTCCCCCAGCAGCCCTGCCTCAGTGCCACCACCCTGCTGACCACGTGCTTACCCACAGATCTCAACGACTGCCTTCCTGACCCCTGCCACAGCCGCGGTCGCTGCTATGACCTGGTCAACGACTTCTACTGTGCCTGTGACGATGGCTGGAAGGGCAAGACTTGCCACTCACGTGGGTTCCGCCCTTAGACCTACCAACCCCGCCCTCGCCCCATTCTGTTCCTGTGTCCCACCCTCCGCACGTCCCACCCCTGTGCTCCATTCCCTTGACCCCCATGCTCTGCCCTTGTGTTTTCCCCACCTCCTGTGCTCCACTCCCATATACTACTCCTCTGTACTGTATGCCTCACCACCTTGTCTGCCTCCATGATTTGTGCCTGCCCCTATAGCATGTGCCCTTCCCCATGCCCACCCCCTGTTATGTACCATGTGCCCCACTCCTGTGTGCACCGCCTGTGTCCATGTCCAGTGTCCACCACATATGCTGTATCAAGTGCCCATCCCCAGGCCTGCACCCTGTGACATGTGTCCCACAGCTGCACTTTCTGTGGTTGTTACTGGGTGGGGTGCGATGCCAGTGTGTGAACTCCTGTGCCGACAGGTGAGTTCCAGTGTGACGCCTACACGTGCAGCAACGGGGGCACGTGCTATGACAGTGGTGACACTTTCCGCTGTGCCTGTCCCCCTGGCTGGAAGGGCAGCACCTGCAACATTGGTGAGGATGTCCCACAACCCGCCTGCTCCAGCCTGCTCCCCATCAGATGTGCTGCCCCTGCACCGTCCCTTTCTTTTGTACACGCTGCCCTACACCCCCCCCACTGCTCCCTCTTTCGGTCCCGCTGTCCCCCACGTGCTGTCTCTACCTTATGCCCTGTCACTTCCCACCTGACCAACTGCTCTACCTCCAGATGCACTCCCCCTCCCACACGCACCTCCCATGCATTGACGCCTCCACGTGCTGCCCCATCCAGAAGCTCCATCCCCTCTCAGACTTGCTGTCCCCGCCACGCGCTGCCCCCCTTGGACACGGTGCACGGACCACAGCCACTCGCCCTCTGTGTCTCACCTCCTGGGTATGGACGGCCTAGCTGAGCTGTCCTTTCTCCTCTCCAAGCTGAGAACAGCAGCTGTCTTCCCAACCCCTGTGTCAACGGAGGCACGTGCGTGGGCAGCGGAGACTCCTTCTCCTGCATCTGCAGAGACGGCTGGGAGGGCCGCACCTGCACGCACAGTGAGGAGGAAGGCTCGTGGGGGGCGGTGAGGGCAGTGTGGACCCGCCATCCAGTCTTCCTGCTAGAACAGAGTTCCTCACTGCCATTAGAGGTCTCTCAGAAAATCAGGGCTGACTCCCTTCCAGACAGCCTCCCATCCTTCCCCACCTCTCCACACTCCACTGCTGGGCTCCCCAGGGCTGCTTGGCGGCCCAGGTCAGGAGCTCCTGGGTACATGGGAGCTGGGCAGGTGCCTCTTGGATGACTGCTCTCTTCTTTTCTCAAACCCAGACACCAACGACTGCAACCCACTGCCCTGGTGAGTGGCCACGAGCTTGGGGGTGGGGACCGGGGACCTGCAGGACCTTGATGTCAACCCTGTCCCTGTAGCTACAATGGTGGCGTCTGCGTGGACGGTGTCAACTGGTTCCGCTGTGAATGCGCACCCGGCTTCGCGGGCCCCGACTGTCGTATCAGTGAGTGGGCAGCCAGCTAGTGGGTGGGGCCCTTGGTGACCACATCCCTGACCACAGGCTGGCGTCAGGCTCCCTCTGCCTGTTTCCCCACGTGTCTTCTCTGCCGGATCCCAGGGCATCCTCCACCACTCAGGGAAAGGGCCCAGGGTGGACATCCTGTAATGGTCCTTCATCAGCTGAAGAGCTGGGGGACAGGGGACCCCTCTGTTTGTACAGTCATAGTGCTTTTCAGGACAGATGTTGGGTTGTGTCACTGAAAGTGTGGGTGCAGGACAGGCTGAGCAGTCACCCACCACCTGGGCCCCCATGTGGCCCTGTGCTTGCATGACTCTGACTTTGTGGAAGGCGAGGTGGACCTCCACTTTGCCTGCCCCTGCCCACTTCCTGGGTGCCCTCGCTGGTGGCTGAGCCTGGCCATTCTTGTAGATATCGATGAGTGCCAGTCCTCCCCCTGTGCCTATGGGGCCACCTGTGTGGATGAGATCAATGGCTACCGCTGTAGCTGCCCTCCTGGGCGGGCTGGGCCTCGCTGCCAGGAAGGTGGGTAGGGGTTACTGATGGTGTGTAAGAGGCTGGTGCGAGGCATCCTGGGGGTGCGGGTGCACCTGGATGGGCCATGTTGCATGTGTTGGGGCTGCATGGGTCAGGGCCGGTGAGATGGACTGTGTGGGGTGGGTGGGGCCTTGCAGAACAGGCCGAGTGGGCGTGGTGTGGGCGGAGCTTTGCAGGTTGGGGTGGGTGGGGCTTAGAAGGGTGGGCGGGGCTTAGCAGGGTGGGCGGGCTGGTGGGTGGGGCTTGGGGGCAGGGCTATGGAGGGTGGGCGGGGCTGAACGGCTGCCGAGGCCACAGGATAGCCCTGACTTTGAGGCTTTTTTTACCACGTCTTGCAGTGATCGGATTCGGGAGGTCATGCTGGTCCCGGGGTGCTCCCTTCCCTCATGGGAGCAACTGGGTGGAGGAGTGTAACAGCTGCCGATGCCTGGATGGCCACCGGGATTGCAGCAAGGTGGGAGGGCGCTCTGCCCCACCCCCGTGTGGACCCCACTCTGGAGGGTGGGTGCCCTGGGAGTCCCCCTTACCCTAGTCTGACTTCACAGTGATTTTGTTGTTGGGATAATGTCTCTTGTGATTCTAACCCTGGAGTGCATGTGGCAACCCAGGCGAGGCCTGGTCTCATCTCCCTGACTTGGCTTCACGACCCCCCATTTTTTGTCTCTGAGGCATACCCCTGCCCAGATGCGAAGTTCAGCCTCTTGGGGCCTTGGGAAGAGGGGCGGGTGGGTAGCACTCTTGGGTTTGTTTCTGTCTGTCTGTCTGTCTGTCTGTTGGCCCCCTTATGTCTGTGGTCGTCATCTTATCTATGGTGTAGTCCCTTCTGTGGACTGCCCTGTAGTTCCCTCTTTGTGCTCCCCTGTGTCTGTGTGGTCCCCCCTCTGTGACCCTCTCTCTGGTCCCCTCTGTCTGTGGGCCCCCTTTTGTGGCCATCTCTCTGGTCCCTCTGTAGAATCCCCTCTCTGGACCCCTTTTGTTGTCCCCCACCTCTAGTCCCCATCATCTGGTCCTCAGCTGTCCCTCCAGTATCTGTAGGTCTGGTGCTGTCTGTGGTCCCTGTCCATCCGTGAGCATCTCTGGTTCCTCTCTCTCCTCCTTGCGTGTCATCTTTGATCTTTTTTCTTCTTTTATGAGAGAAATTTGTATTTGGAATTAGCCAGCTGAACTCCGTTTAGATGATCCAAATTTTGTTGGCAACATCCAAAGCATCATAGTCAGGAGCAAGTTGAACATAGGCCTTCTTCTCTCCATCAGGCCTAATCAAGGTGTTGACACTGGCCACATCAATGTCATAGAGCTTTTTTACAGCTTGTTTGATTTGGTGCGTCTTGGCCATGACATCCACCATGAACACAAGTGTGTTGTTATCTTCTTCTTCATGGCTGACTCAGTGGTCGGGGGAAACTTGATGATGGCATAGTGGTCAAGCTTGTTTCTCCTGGGGGCGCTCTTCTGGGGGTATTTGAGCTGCCTTCAGAGTCTCAGCGTCTTAGGCCACAGGAAGTGAGTGACGTGCAGATCTTCCTTTTCTTTTTTTTTTCACTGTGGACGCCCTTCAGGATGCCTTCTTGGCCTGTGATGCCTTTGCTTTGGCTTCAGTTTGGGGCGGGAAAGGGGCTTTTTTTTTTCCACTTTCAGGGCCATCTTTGTAGAAAGCCACCATCTTTGATCTTAAATCTATCCTGCCTTAAGTGTATCTCTGTCCATCCTTTACCTACGTCCACATGTCACTGTCTTGCTTGTATTTCTGATTGGTCTATGCGTCACGTTCCCTGTCTGTGTCTTGTCTGCCATAGGTGTGGTGTGGACGAAAGCCCTGTCTGTTGGCTGGCCGGCTGAATGCTTTGAGTGCCCAGTGCCCGCCTGGGCAGCGGTGCCAGGAGAAGGCCCCCAGCCAGTGCCTGCAGCCGCCATGTGCAGCCTGGGGGGAGTGTACCACCGAAGAGCCCTTCCTGCCCAGCACGCCCTGCCTGCCACGCTCTGGCCACCTGGACAGCAACTGTGCTCGCCTCACACTGCACTTTGACCGTGACCAGGTGCCCCAGGTTAGTATACAAGGCAATTGCCCTGACACCGGGGGCTCCGTGGACACCTTGGCTGCCAGACTGTGGTCAGCACTGTGTGATTAGACAAGGCTGACCAGATGGGCAGGCAGGGGAGAGGGCCTGCGTGGGGGTGCCCGAGGGCACTGGGAGGGCAGCAGGGCCGTGCTGAGATGTGTGTTGGCCCAGAGCGTCCCTCAGGGTTAGAATACGAGGAATCCTGCTCCTGCCCCACAGACTCAGCTGCTGCACTGGTTCCCCTGGGAGCCCCCTGGGCAGGGCAAGGTCAGAAGGGCTGGCCGGCACCCCAGGCCCGCCGGGCCCCTGTCCTCTGGTGTTGCCTTCTGGGTAGACAGTGCAGTGCTGGTTGTCAAAAGAGGCCATTGTCCTGCTCATGACCTGCTGGCTCTACCCAGGGCACTACTGTGGCTGCTATCTGTGCTGGGATCCGCTCCCTGCCTACCACCAGAGCTGTGGCCCGGGACCGTCTGCTCGTGCTGCTGTGTGACCGGGCTTCCTCGGGGGTCAGTGCTGTGGAGGTGGCCGTGGTGAGTCCGGGGTGTATGTTGGGGTGGGTCCTGGACAGCTACTTCCCTCGCTTCTTGAGGCCTGGGTGAGGGTGGGGGACCTCATCCAGGTTTAGCCCCAGCACACAGAGGGACACGGGTGTATGTGCCACAGTGTCAGTGTGAGTGGGGCTCCCGCCCGTGGACACCTGTGGCAGGGGGCATTCCCAGCAGGTTCCCATCTGCGGATGTGGCCAGACCAGAGGGAGGTCGGGCTTGTGTGGGGTTGGGGGTGCCCAGAAGCGAGAAATAAGGGAAGTCATGAGGGTGCCCGAAACCACTGTAAGAGCTGGAGTGTCCTGAGGGTTCAGAGCTGTCAGCACTGCTTCCTGAGGATAGAGCCAGGCTGCGGTCCCTGAGACAGGGTGCAGAAGCAAGGAGGGGGCCCACTGTGCCCCACTTTCCTCCAGCTCAGCTTCCTCTGGGGTGCTGGGTCCAGGTGGTGGGGTGGTGGGCTTCACCCTCAGCGCTTTGCCTTGCACAGTCCTTCAGCCCAGCCCGGGAGCCGGCTGACGGCAGCCTGGTCCAGAGTGCTGCCCACGCCATTGTGGCGGCCATCACTCGGCGGGAGAACAGCACCCTGCTGCTGCTGGCCGTCACGGAGGTCAAAGTAGAGACCGCCGTGGTGGGCGGATCCTCCACAGGTAGAGGGCGGGACTTCCTCTCACCCAGGTGGGCAGGGGGGGTCTGTGGGAGTACTCAGGACCGAGACACACCCATCCTCCATCTCCCCCATCCCCACCTCACCCTATCCCCCTCCTCTCCTCCACCCTCCCCGTTGTCTCCATTCCCCATCTCCTCCATCCCCCTCCCTGTCCCCTCTCCATCCCCCCTCCATCCCCCATCTCCATCCCCCGTCTCCATCCCCCATCCCCCTTCCATTCCCCCATCTCCATCCCCCATCTCCATCCCCGTCTCCATCTCCCATCCTCCCTCCATCCCCCATCCCCCTTCCATTCCCCCATCTCCTCCATCCCCCCTCCCTGTTCCCTCTCCATCCCCCCTCCATCCCCCATCTCCATCCCCCGTCTCCATCCCCCATCCCCCTTCCATTCCCCCATCTCCATCCCCCATCTCCATCCCCGTCTCCATCTCCCATCCTCCCTCCATCCCCCATCCCCATCCCCCATCCCCCCTCCATCCCCATCTCCATCTCCCCTCCATCCCTTGTACCTCTGTCTCTCCATCCCCTTCCCACCCACCTCCCCACTCTCTATCCTTCTAGCTCCCTACTATCCCCTATTTCATCCCCTATCCTTCACCTCCCCACCCCCATCCCTACAGGAACTCATGTCCTCTATCCCCTCATCTCGACAGCCCCTTTGTCTATTTATCCCCATCCCCCTCCCCAACCCTATCTGCCCATTCCTTATCGTTTCCTCTCTCCAACCCCTATCCCACGAGTGCCCCTATCCCTCCATCTCCCCATGTCCACGGGCCCCTCATGCCCTCTCTGGGACCCTCCTGCCCTGATTCTGGGGCATCACTGGCCCAGGCCCCATGGCTGCAGCACCCTCAGTGCCACCCTCGCCCGCAGGCCTGCTGGTGCCCGTGTTGTGTGGCGTCTTCAGTGCACTGTGGCTGGCCTGCATCGCCGTCTGTGTGTGGTGGACACGCAAGCGCAGAAAAGAGAGGGAGAGGAGTCGACTGCCGCGTGAGGAGGGCCCCAACAACCAGTGGGCCCCCCTCAACCCCATTCGCAACCCCATCGAGCGGCCGTGCACTGGGGGCTTGGGCGGTGGCCCCAAGGACACGCTGTACCCTTGCAAGAACTTCACGCCGCCCCCACGTCGGGTGGGAGAGGTGCTGCCCGGGCCGGCCGGCCACGGGGCCAGCGAGGACGAGGAGGACGAGGACCTGGGCCACCCTGAGGAGGACTCTCTGGAGGCAGAGAAGTTCCTCTCACACAAAAGCACCAAAGACCTGGGCCGGCCGGTCCCCTGGGCCTCGGGGCCCAAGGTGGACAACCGCGCGGTCAGGAGTGTCAATGACACTCGCTTCGCCAGCACGGAGTAGGGCCGTGGGGGCGGGGCCGTGCTCAGAGCGTCTTTATTTTGTGTAAAAAAAAAAGCAAAAACGAAGCAAAAAACAAATGTTTATTTTCTACGTTTCTTTAAGCTTGTATAAATTATTCGTGGCGGTCGGGCAGGCGACAGCGTCTTTTCGGAGCGTTGCTATTTTTGTAAAGTTTCCGCACTGCCCACCCTGGGCCGTGTGGGGCGGTTTGTGCACGCAAATCCTGTCGCATCTGCTACCCCAGGTTGTACACTGTTTACAGAATCTTCCTTTTTATTCCTCACTTGGGTTTTTCAGCGGCTGGAACAGGCCAGTGGGACCTGCGGCAGTCAGCGTGACCCCTGGCGGTCAGTGTGGGCCTGGCAGCTGGCAGGACCATGGCTGTCAGTGTGGCTGGTGGTGGCCAGCAAGAGCCATGACTATCAGCGTGACTGTTGGCGGTCAGCATGGGCCTGGTGGCCAGTGGTACCCATGACTATCAACATAATCCCTGGTGGTCAGCATGGGTCTGGTGGCTAGTGGGACCGTAACTGTTGGCATGACCCTTGGTGGTCAGCATGGGCCTGGCAACTGATGGGACCTATTGCTGTCAGTGTGACCTTTGGCGGTCAGTGCAGGCCTGGTGGCTGACGGGACCATTGCTGTCAGTGTGGCCCCTGATGGTCATTGTGAGCCTGCCAGCCCGTGGGACCATGGCTATCAGTATGGCAGGTGGAGAGGCCCTTGCCTGTTGACTGGCCTGCACCGTGGTGTCCACTGTCCCCTTCTTCCTGGCGCACGACTCCGAGAGCTCTCATCTGTGCTTCAGAAGTGTCCTTCCTACTGCCCTGTGCCCCACGGGCAGTGGCAGTACTGAAGCCCCTGACAAGTGCCTTCACACAGACTCCTCCCTGCAGACATCGGCGTCCCGCAAGGGCACCAGGCTGCTGCCCCGCTGCCGCCCCGCCCGCCCGCCGGCTGGCCGTCCCTCCTTGTGAAAGTGCATTTTTGTAAATATGTACATATTAAATGAATCACTCTGTATATTTGATTTAATAACTTAAACTCTTTGGCCTCCCTCATTCTTGGGTGCTGCTTTTTTCTGTGGATTGTGGGGATGGGGGACAGCCTGTCAACACCCGGGGTAGTGGCACGTCCTCGCCCTGTGGGAGCTGTGAGGGTCAGGAGAGCCCTGCTGGGCCTCTGACCTCTCACAAGAAGTGCTGGGCAGCAAAGCTGCTGGAAGGCTCGTTGTCTGTACAAACATAAGCGGCCAGTGTTCGGGAGTGGACAGGCCTGATCCTGATTGTGCACAGATGGGTGAGCCTGAGGCAGCCCTGCCCAGCGAGGGGTTCCACTGGACTGTTGGCACTGCTCTCACTGTGCTCTGAGGTGGCATGCAGCTACTGCAGCCTGGGAACCAAGCGGCAGGTCTGAAAAGGAACCAGGTCGACCTAGAAAACGCAGCCCTCAGGATGGAACTCCGAAGGTGAACAGGATTCGTGGACTGAAGGAAGGCCAGGAAAGGTTACCTAGAGATGCCCGCTCAACACGCTCGAGATGCTGCCATCGGCCTGGAACCGCTGTTGCCCTCCGGTGGGTTTCCAAAGCTGTGAATGGTCTGTCTTTTCCCCACGTTTGAATGGTGAGAGGGGTACTGCTTCTGGGTTGGTAGCACCACTCGCTGCAGACCGCACCACCAGAACTCCCTGGAGTACATGCGGCCTGTGAACACAAAGGTCCGAAACCGCGAAGGCAGCTGGTGGCCAGCTCACGGACAGTGGGATGTCTTGATGCTGGTGGGTGAAGCCCGTCAGCATTTGGTGGGCAGAGAGCAGGTATGAGCAGAGCTAGGCTACTTGAGCCTCCTCTGTAGAAGATGTGATGCTGCCTTGTGCCTGCCCACAGGGTGCCAGTATGCCCCCAGATTGTGTAGAAAGTCCCAGGAGTCTGTGTCTTCTGGGGGTTCAGGACACGGGGACCCAGTGCTTGCTCAGGGACCAGGGTCAAAGGTGGGGCATGCAGTGCAGCTTGCACTGTGTGGTTTCCTGCCTGTGTGAGTACACGTGTGTGTCCACTGGGTTACATGTGTGCACATGCACGGGTTTCTGTGGTGCACACCAGTGTGTACGTGTGTGCATGTCACACACCTGTGCAGTGTATGTTCATGCACGTGTACACATGCACCTACAGGTGTGTTCTCAAATGTGCGTGTACATGTGTGTATATGTGTGTACGTATATGGGCATCTCCATGTGTATATGCACAGATGTGACTGGGGATGCTTCTGCATGCAGAAATGTGTACCTGCTGCCCAGTGCCCTGAGGGTCTCAGCTTTCTTCCCCAGTCGCCCAGGCTCCAGCTCTGCCAAGGAATGGAGGCGCCGTCCAGAACCTGGGGCCACGCCATCCCTGTGGCAGCCTCCTGCTGTAGTTTTCCTGCAGGACTAGTGGTCAAGGCTGGCCTGGGCATATCCTAGGCCCCATGCTCCCTGCCCATGTGGACTGGGTGAGGGACCTTCTGGTGCCAGCTCATCTCTGCAGGATATCAGCAGAGGCACCAGGGTGGCCCAAGACCCCAGACCCTGTGAGCCCTACCTGGCCGACTTGACCCAGCTCCCTGTTCAGGTTGTGGGGGGCTCTAAGCAGAAGTCAGGCCCCAGATGCCACTGTGCCACCCTGCCCCAGAAGTGCCTGTTCTCCCCTGGGTGGGTGGATAGGTGGGTAATTAGCCCCCAGAGGGGGCAGCTGCTTCATTAGGAAGTCAGCAACAGGAAAACACTCAAGGAACCCCAGCGGCGACCCTGGCAGGTGCCAAGTGCTGTTCGTAGAGGCCTTGGTCAGTACAACCCACACCCCCACTGCTGGCGGTCCAGGTGCATGGACGGGGAATGGTCATCCTCCTGCTTGCTGCTGAACAAGGCAGGAATGCATGCTGGGGCTGATGGAAAAAGACTAGAGATGGGCTTTGGCCAGCTGATCCATCAGGCCCTGCCCTTGGTCCCACGGTGTGCCTACCTGGCTGTCCTCTGCAAGGTGTGTTGTCACCCCTCTGCTGCCCTTTGCAGGCCTCTTCCTCCTTTATTTAGGGGTGTTGGGGAGCACTAGCATGGGCGGGGCTGCGCCGCTATTCCATCACAGCATCAAAAGAGCCTACCCCACTCCCATAGGGCTTCACCGAGCTGGAGTGAGGGCTTCCAGCCACGGCCTGGGGGCCCATGGGAGGCTTGGGGACCTGGAGTATCTTGGGCATCTTGCTGAGGTCTAGGGCCGTGGATGAGGAAAGAGGGTTCTGTGCCCAGTGTGGCTGTGGCCAACAGAATGTGGGAAGAAGTGCCAGGGAGGTGGACTCAGGCCCACATGGCTTTGCCAAGACCCAAACATAGAACCCCAGCAAGTGCCATGTAGGTCTGGGAACAGGAGTGTGGGGACAGAGAAACTGCAGGGGTGGAGCCCTGGGGCATTTGTCCAGCCAGGGGCACTAGGATGGACGGGGCTGGAGCAGTCCTGGGTGTAGCATGGCCTGTGAAACCTGGGAGACAGCTCTGGTGTGCCCACATGGTCCAGGCAGGGAGCAGTGACTGCGCTGGACCGAGGCTGGCCAGACTGACCTGTGGCCATGTCTTGGGTGGATGGTGGCTACAAGCTCAGGGGCAGCTCAGAGGCCACAGTCAGAGCCGCCCGCCCACCTGCCTGCTCCTGCTCCTGTCTCAAGGCTGGCCCCAGGGACAGCACTGACTGCAGTGTCTCCGAAGAAACCAGCCCGCAGGGATCAGGGAGGGGACGCCCACAGGGCCCGGTCCCAGGCAGCCGAGGCCATTAACCCCTGCAAGCCAAGTGGCAGGCGGGCAGTGGTGACTTTTTGACAACCACAGCCCAATACAGCTGCCCTAACAGGGCTGGTTGAAACCATTAGGCCTGTGTATTTCTTGTCCAAGGAATTAGAATAGCAGGAATCAGAAGGGGACCCAGGACCGGCGGGGAACTGTGGCTCCAAGCACTAGGCTGGGAGGGACTTGAAAACCAATGACAGAATCCCAGCACACACACACACACACACACACACACACGGAGGATACTACACTTATATGAATCCACCACACATCCATGGAAGACACCACGTGTATGTGAAGGATACTAAAGATGCACAGAGGACACCCATGTACACAGGGCACACACACACACACACACACACACTCCTGCACCCCTCTGAAGAATGATCAGGGTGAATCCTGTGGCCACCTACCCTAGGCCACAGACCTACCACACCCCCTAGGCCATGGGCCCCAGACCTCAGGCCATGAAGCTCAGAACCCAGGCCACAGACCTCAGACTCCAGCCTGCTGGCCTATAGACCACAGACCACAGACCCCAGGTCTGCAGACCCCAAGCCTAGAGACCACAGACCCCAGATTCCAGGCTGCCAGCCTATAGATCAGACCCCAGAGCACAGACCACAGACTCCAGGCCCAGAGACTACAGACTCCAAACCCCCGGATCACAGACCTCCAGCCATGGCTCACAGACCCCAGGCCATGGACGCAGACCTCTGGCCAAAGATCCCAGGCGCACAACCATAAACCCCAGTCCACGGACCACAGACCCCAGGCTCATGGACACAGACCCCAGGCCACAGACTTCAGACCTGAGGCCATGGACCCCAGAACCCAGACCATAAACCATAGACTCATGCCCATGGACCACAGAGCCCAAGTCATGGGCCCCAACTCCATGTCTACAGATCACAGACGCCAAGCCCCAGACCCCAGATCATAGACCCTAAGCCATGGACCACAGACCCCAAGCCCACAGACCCCAGACCCATGAACCACAGAACCACAGACCATAGACTCCAGGTCCATGGACCCCAGACCCCAGACCCACAGACCCAGAGACCCCAGGCCCATAGACCACAGACAGATATAAAGGAAAGGACATAGGAACAAAGAGGCTTCTAGGGCTGAAACCGCAATGGTCATAGACGACCCTGCCTACAGCAGAGCCCGGGCCGGGTCCTGGAG